ACAGGGCGTGGTCCTGTTTTGCTCCACCCCCGCTTTCGGCTCTCCCTCTTTCTCTCTCCCCACTCTTCTCCTATCCGTCCCAACGCCTCCGCCCGGGGCTCTGCAGTTTTGTTTTATTAGTCCCGGTGGGAGGTTTTACTGCGGTAAAAGTGCAGTGTGAAGGTCAGATGAAGCTGGATGTGATAAAAAGCAGTAATCCCACCGGAATCCAACTCTGTAACCCCTTGCTAACTTACAGGTGTCTCAGTAGCTGGGTGTCTGACTGAATCCTTCCTGCACATGGAGCACGGGAATGGTCTGTCCCCGGTGTAACTGCACCATTGGGTGGTCAGCTGAGGTGGGGGACTGTATCACTGCCATTGTCCTGATATTTCCACAGTATCTCCACAGTGTGGGTATCTGTTGCCGCTCCTGGCTGGGTGATTAGGTAAATTTTAATCCAATAGACAGAACGTCCATATAGTTTCTGTCAACTGTCTGTGGTGAGATTTTATTTCAGTCTATGTTAAAAGCTCTTTCCACCGTCAATTCACTGGAACACTCACTCAGTCTGTGTAATTGGTTACGACTTTTTCGGCTGTTTACTGGAAGACCATATGTAACAGGAACAGGAGTAAGCCATTTGGTCCCTTGTGCCTGTTTTGCCATGCATTAGGACTGCGGCTGATCTGACATTCCTGATGTCTACTTTTCCAGCGTTTTCCTGTAACCCTTAATTTCCCTACTGATCAAGAATCAATCTATCTATCTCAGCCTGAAAAATACACCAAGCCTTTGCCCTGTCACCTCTTTGAGGACAGAAGTTCCAAAGACTCTCAACCCTCTGAGAGGAAAATTCTCCTCATTTCAGCTTTAAATTGGCACACTTCATTCTGAGATTATGGTTTCTCTCCAATGAGAAGGAAAATCCTCTCAGCATTTATCATGTCAAAGCACTTTAGAATCTGATTAAAACAATGGCACATGGTCTCATTGAAACAAAACTCCAACGCATAGTGTCCCACTCACTCAATTCGTGTCACTGGATAAAGGTCTTCTCGCTGTGTCACTGGATAAAGGTCTTCTCGCTGTGTACTGTGTTAGAACCCTCGCTGAGTTTTTAAAAAATCATTTTGGGTTTGAATCGGAGAGCTGAATGGTGACCTCTGGACAGTGAGTGGCAGTTGTGTTTAAAAAAAAATAAAAACTGTTTGTTTCTGAGGCCAGGCCTGGAAGTTAATTGCAGTTTGGTTCTTGATCAAAAGCTCTGTAGACTCTTCTGGCCACTAATGAGGTCACTATCTGGGAACTGGCGCCAGCAAGTCTGGCAGAGGACATGATCAAACAGAAGGAAGGGTCAAAGTTCTTTAGAATGGAGGCTTTCTGAGAAAACGTTGTTAATGTTACAACATGAAGGTTTGACAATCCAATGTACCTGTGAAACAATGCATCATACAAGCTGCTTAAGTAATTTGGTCAGTTTTGTTTTGATATTTTAATTTATCCCATGATTGTCATTGGTGTGAATGGGGCTGGAGACAAAGGTTATTGGGTTAAATCATTACTGTGTTAACTGAGGAGTATGCACAGTATGGTGTTGGCAGATGCTTGTGCCTGTGCTAGTGACTGAGTTTGATGGGAAAAGTGTCCACATGCACATCTTTGTCGCAGTGCTTACTGCCAATGTGAAAGAGGCTGAGGGAAAGATCAGAGAGTGGAGGGAGAGAACCGAGCAGGGTGGGGGGGTGGTGCGTGATTTGGAAATTGGGGTTATTCTTCGCCCATCACCCCACCACAAAACCCAGCCCACTGTTTCTCTCACTGCTTCCCTTCCCCAGCCATATGTCTTTCCCTACCCCAGCCCTGGTCCCACTCCCCTCTTTCCCCAGTATCAGCAAACTTCCAAAGATATTTCCTACATATTATGTTGCTTTTCTGAGAACCTTCAACAATTTGAGAACTGGATAGAAAACGAGAGACAGAGCAGCCACTCCAGAAGCTTCCAAAATCACTCTGCACCTTGACCTTCTTGAATGGTTGCACTTGGAGTGCTGAAGTTGCTCCCAGATTGCTGTCTGGTAAGAAGTTACAGGATTTTCATTCAGTGGTGATCAGATAGTGCTGATATCTGTGTCAGTTAAAATCATCTTGTTTTTATATCCCACCTTCAACAGAACAGAAACATAGAAAATAGGAACAGTGTAGGCCAATGTAACTTTCAGTCATGGCTGATTATTTTACTCAGTAGCCTGATCCCTTTAGCCCTCGCAAATACATATATCTTCTTCTTGGAAACATTCAATGTTTTGGCCTTAACTGCTCGAATTTCAGGGGGTCACCAGTCTCTGTGAAAAGAAATGTTTCCTCATCTCAGTCATAAACAGCCTAGCCCATGTCCTTAATCTGTGACTCCCTGGTTCTGGACTCCTTGGTCATTGACAGCATCCTTCCTGCATTTACCTGGTTAGTCCCATTAGAATTTCACTGGTTTCTGTGAGATCTTTCCTCATTCTTCTAAACTCCAGTGAAGTTCATCTTTACCAATCCATTCTGTCCTCATGTGTCGGTCCTGCCATTCCAGGAATCAGTCTGGTGAACTGTTGTGTACAGCCTCCATAGCCAAAACATCCTCCATCAGATAAGGATTCCAAATGTGCACACAATACTCCAGGTGTGGCCTCACTAAGATCATGTACAATTTCAGCAAGACATCCCTGCTCCTGTACTCAAATCCTCTCGCTATGAAGGTCAAAATACCATTTGCCTTTTTCACCTCCTGGTGCACCTGCATGCTTACTGTAAGTAACTTGTGTTTTCCTGGTTTTATAATCCAACTGGATAACCTTGAACTTAGCCACGTTATACTTTGTCAGCCTTGCATTTTTGCCCACCCTCTCAACATCAAGTCATACTGAAGTATATCCGCATCCTCCTCACAGTTCACTGTCACACCCAGCTTCATGTCTTCTACAAGCTAATAGATATGACATTTAAGTTTCCTCATCTAAGTCATCATTAGATAGTATGAATATCTGGGTTCCAGCACTGATCCCTGCAGTACCGCACTGGTCACTGGCTGACACACGAAAAAATGACTGCTTATTCTGACTCGCTTTCTTTCCTGCCAGCCAGCTCTGTATCTCTGTGAATACACAATCCTAAATGCTTTCACTTTACATGCTCATCTCTTCTGTGGGACCTTTTGAACGTCTTCTCAAATCCCAAGTAAATGACATCCACTGCCTCCTTATCAACTCTAAATGTTGCATTCTTGAAACATACCAGCAGATTTGTACAGCATGATTTCCCTCTTGTAAATCCATGCTGACAAACTCTGTCCAATCCTGTCACAGTTTTCCAGTGTTAGGCTAACCGGTCGATAATTCCATATTTTCTGTCAACCTTCTTTTTTAACTAGTAGCATTACCTTAGCTACCCTCCAATCCATAGGAATTGTTCATCTTGAAAGATGACCATCAATTTCCTCTATTTCGACTCGAGCCCCTATTTTCAGAATACATTGGTTTCTCAGGCCAAATAAAAACCGAAAGAACTGCGGATGCTGTAAATCAGGATCAAAAACAAAGTTGCTGGAAAAGCTCAGCAGGTCTGGTAGCATCTGTGAAGGTAAAAACAGAGTTAACGTTTCGGTTCGAAACAGTAACTGTTTTTTTCCTTCCCAGATGCTGCTAGACCTGCTGAGCTTTTCCAGCAATTTGTTTTTGTTATCTCTCAAGCCAGTTTAAGTACTCTGGCTGTAGATTACTAGGAGCTGGGATTTGTTGGCTTTTAATCCCATCAATTCCCCCAACACCATTTTCCTACTCACTCTAATTTCCTTCAGTTCCTGCTTCCGATATGTTCCCCAGCATTTTAGCGGTATTATTGGTGTAATCCTTTGTGATGACAGAACCAAAATATGTAGTTAATTGGTCTGCCATCTCTTTATTCCACATTATAATTACCCCTATTTCTGATTGTAAGGGATTTGTTTTCATTAATCTGTTTTTCTCTTCATTATATCTTTAGGAACTTGTACAATTTGTGTGTATATACCCCAGAAACTTACTCTTACTCTTTATTTTTCCCCTCTTAACCAATCCCTTAGTCCTGTTTTGGTGAAATATGAACTGCTCCCAGTCTTCAGATCTGCTGTTCTTTTTAGCCAATTTGTACCCCTCTTCCTTGGATCCAGTACTACCCCTAATGTCCCTGGTTAGCCATGGCAGGGCCACCTTTCCTGTTTCATTTTGTGTCTGACAGGAAAGAACAACAGTTGTAGTTCCACCAAGTGCTCTTTAAATGTTTGTTATTCCTTTAAAGTTATATTCCCTAAGTTATCGTAGCCTGATCATGTCTCATACCATCGTAATTTCCTCTGTTTAGATTTTGGTCCCTAGTCTCAGAATCAACTCTGTCGCATTCCATCTTAATGAGGCGTTTTATCACTGAGTTCTTCTTTCTCCCACAAGCGGCCTCACACGGCTAGATTGTTAATGATTCCCTTCACATTACACAATTAATATTTTGAAATTAAAGTTGCCACAGTCTCAGAAGACCTTAGGACTGCTCTGTCACTTGGGGACCGAGAGAGAGAAGGCTAATGTGCTTTAACGTGAGGGTCAATGTGCCTCAGGCAGGCAAGGTTAAGAATGTGGGATCTTCACGGTGACCTTGGGCAGTATGTGAATTGAGTACATGCATCACTCTGAATCGCAAATCAGCCATCCAGTTAACTGAGCTAACCCACTCCCAGTCATTACACAATATGCAGTCGAGATGGCCTATCTCCATTTGGGCCCTCGATGTATTGATCCTAGAATGTGTATGAGATGGTTTTTTGGAATTTCTCCTCTATGGTATTGTTGCTGAGTTGACTTGCTCAATCTATGTGCAGATTGAAGTCCCCCACAATAACCAAGATACAGGAGCAGAATTAGGCCATTCGGCCCATTGTTTCTGTTCCACCATTTGATCACGGCTGACATGTTTCTCAGCTCCATTCTCTTGCCTTCTGCTTTCTTCCGTACCTTTGATCCCCTCACAAACGAAGAACCTATCTATCTCTGTCATAAATACGCTCCGCAGCCCTCTACGGCAGTGAGCTCTAAAAAATCACCAGTCTCTGGCTGAAGAAACTCCTCCTCATCTCAGTTCTAAAGGGTTGTCCCTTTACTGTGAGGCGGTGCCCTTGGGTTCTCGTCTCTCCTACTAGTTGTAACATTTTCTCCACATCCATCTGTCTAGGCCTCTCAGTATTCTGTAAGTTCATATAGTCATACAGCATGGAAACTAGTCCATGCCGACCATGTGCTGAAACTAAACTAGTCCCACCTGCCTGCGCTTAGCCCATATCCCTGTAAACACTTCTTATTCATGTACTTATCCAAACGTCTTTTAAAAATTGTAATTGTATCCGCATCCGCACAGGAGCCACTCTCTGTGTAACAAAAAGTTGCCCTTCATGTCTTTGTTTTTCTCCTCTCGCCTTAAAAAAAAGTATGCCCTCTAGTTTTGAAATCTCCCACCCCGTGGAAAAGATATCTGTATTCACCTTATCACTACCCCTTAAGGGCAGGACTTGTACAGTTAACGGTAGGGCCCTGGATAGTGTTATACCTGAGTACCTTTCCACTTAACATGGTGCTGTAAGTGGCAACTTGTAAACTTTTCACTATACTTGTGAGTATGTATGACAATAAAGCTAATTCAGTTTGATTTTAAACATGCCCCCTAGTCTTGAAATCCCCACCTAAGAGAAAGGACACTTGCCATTTGACACCCCTCAGGATTTTTATAAACCTCCAAGTTCAACCTCAACCTCTTGTGCCCTGAGAAAGAAGTCTGAGCCTATTCCGCCTCTCCGCATAACTCAATTTCTCTTTTCCCAGCAACATCCTGGTAAATCTCTTCTGAACCCTCTCCAGCTTACTAATATCCTTCCTTTAACAGGGTGATCAGAACTGGACACAGTACTCTAGATGAAGCCTCACCAGCATCTTGTACAACTTCAACAAGATGCCCCAACTCCTGTACTGAAAGGCCTGAGCCTATGTTTATGTGTACGTGTAATGAAAACTTCAAAGAATTAGGTAACTGAAACCCAAAGTGTCTCTGTTCTACAGCATTATCCAAGGCTGTGTAAGTCCTGCCCTCCCTTTGCTTAGAATTAGAATCCCGATAGTGTGGAAACAGGCCATTCGACCTAACAAGTCCACACGAACTCTCTGAAAAGCATCCCACCAGACTCTCATTTTCTGAAGAAGGGTCCAGACCCGAAACGTCAGCTTTCCTGCCCCTCTAATGCTGCTTGGCCTGCTGTGTTCATCCAGCCCTACACCTTGTTATCCACCAGACTCTCACACCTGCTCTGTCCCTATAACCCTGCATTTCCCATGGCTAGTCCACATAACCTATACATCTCAGAATACTACGGATGATTTAGCGGGCTAATCCATCCAACCTGCACATCTTTGAACCGTGGGAGGAAACACATGGAGACACAGGTAGAATGCGCAAATTGTACACAGACAGTTGCCCGAGGCTGGAATTGAACCCAGATCTGTGGCTCTGTGAGGCAGCAGTGCTAACCACTGAGCCAGCATGCTGCCCTAAAATGCAATAGCTTGCACTCCATCTGTCATTTGTCAGCCCATAAACCCAATTGATCAACATCTCTTTGTAATCGTAGATAACCTGTCCACGAAACCATAACATTTGGTGTCATCAACAAACTTACTAACCATGCCTTCTATATTCTCTTCTATATCATTTAATAAATGACAAACACAAGTGGACCCATCACCGATCTCTGTGGAACACTGCTGGTCACAGGTCTCCAGTTGAATAACATCCTTACACCACCACACCCTGTCTCATGTCATTAAGTGAATTAAATAACCAATCGGCAAGCTCACTATGAATCCCATGTGAGCTAACTTTACAAATTTGTCTACTACGCGGAACCTTGTCAAGGGCTTTAGTAAAGTGCAAGTAAACAACGTCTACTGCTCTGCGCTCATCAGTCTTGGTTCCTTCATCAAAAAAACTCAATCAAATTTGCGAGACATGATTTCCCTCTCTCAAAACCATGCTGACGATCCCTAATCATTCCTTGCCTCTCCAAATGCTATCTTTCAGTATCACTTCCAACAGCTTACCCACAGCCAAAGTCAGACTTATTGGTCTATAATTCCTCGGCTTCTCCCTACCTCCCTTCTTAAACAAAGGCAAAACTTTAGCCACTCTCCAGTCACCTGGCACCTCACCCATATTTATAGATGATACAAATATTTCCGCGAGGAGCCCCACAATTTCCTCCCTTACTTTCCACAATGCCCTAGGATGCACGAGATCAGGTACCAGAGAATTATCCACCTTTATATTTTCTAAGACCTTCAGCACTTCCTCTCCTGCAAAGCAAACTGTTCAAAACATCAATATTTATTTCCTTGAATTCTCTAGCCTCCTTCAGTCCAACTTGTCCATGTCGACCAGGTTTCCCAAACTGAACTAGTCCCACTTGCATTTGATCCATACCTCTCTAAACCTTTCCTATTCATGTACCTATCCAAATGTCTTTTAAATCGTGTAAGTGTACCTGCATCTACCACTTCCTCTGGAGGTTCATTCCATATAAAAACTATCCTCTGTCTGAAAATGTTGCCTATTGTTTCCCTTTAAATCAATCTCCTCCTTAAAAATGTACTCTCTAGTTTTGGACTCCTCTATCCAAGAGAAAAGACCGTTGCTGCTCACCTTTATCGTTTACCCCTCAATTTTCAAACCTCTACAGAGTCACCCCTCAACCTCCTATGTTAGAGTGCAAAAAGTCCCAGCCTATCCAGTCTCTCCTCATAAGTCAAACCCTCCAGTCCTGGTGACATATATGCTGTAAGTGTAGCATGTAGCCACACAGAGTAGAACATCAATCCAGCCGCAAGAAGCATCACCTAGTTTCTATTTCTTTGGCCCTTGGTCAAATAGTTTAGCAACAGGAACTGTCCAGTTTCATACATGGAGAGTGAACGTTTGGGCTAGCTTACTCCACAGTCAAAACTGATGTGAAATAGTTATTTTATATCTCTCCCATCTGCCGAGTTTCAACACAAAGACGTCCTCCTTGATCATTAAGGTGCCCAACTCTCTCTCTAGTTGCTCTCTTGCTCGATATGTACTTGTTGAATCTCTTTGGATTATCCTCAGCCTTGGCAGATAAAGTTACCTCATGCCCTCTCTGCCTTTCTGATCTCCATCTTAAGAAATCCTCTACACTTCTTATACTATTCAAGAAGTTCATTTGAACCTAGTTGTCTATCTCTAATATGGTTCTTTTTCATTCTTGACTGGCGCCTCAATATCTTTATTAATCCATTGTTCTCTAATCAAACCAGCCCTACCTTTGGTTCAACCAGTCCATGCCAAGCATAATTCCAAGTTAAACTTGCCCCACCGGCCTGCTCCTGGCCCATATCCCTCCAAACGATTCCGAGTCATGTACTTATCCAGATGTCTTTTAAATGTTGTAATTTTGCCCACATTCACTACTTCCTCAGGATGTTCATTACAAACACGAACTACTTCTCTGTTTTTAAAAAAAAATTGCCTCTCAAGTCTTTTTTTAAATCTTCCTCCTCTCACCTTAAAAATATGCCCCCTTGTCTTGAAATCCCTCACCCTAGGGAAAAGGCACCTGCCACTCACCTTATCTATACCCTTCATGATTTTATAAATGTCTATAAAGTCACCCCTCCAATTTCTGGACTCCAGTGAAAAAAGTCTCAACCTATCCAGCCACTCCTTATAACTCAAAACCTCCATTCCTGGCAACATCTTGGTAAATTTTTTCTGAACCCTTTCCAGCTTAATGATATCCTTCATATAACAGGCGATCAGAAGTGGACACATTACCCCAGAAGAGGCCTCACCGACGTTCTGTACAAGCTCAACATAACATCCCAACTCCTCTCAAAGGTCTGAGCAATGAAGGTAAGCAGACTAAACACCTTCTTAACCACCTTGTCCACATGTAATGCAAAAATCAAGCAATGATGCACCTGAACCCCTGGGTGTCTCTGTTCTACAACACTATCCAGGGCCCTACTTTTTATTGTACAAGTCCTGCTCATGTTTGTTTTACCAAAATGCAATAACTTGCCCTTATCTAAATTAAACACCACCTGCCATTCCTCAGGCAGACTCAATAGATCAAGAAGTCTTTCTAATCTTGGACAGCTTCTTCACTGTCCACTATGCTGCCTATTTTGGTGTCATGTGCAAATTTACTAACCATGCCTTCTATATTCTTATCTTAATCATTACATAAAATGTGAAACAGAGTTGGACCCAGCACCAATCCCTATGGAACACGGCTGGTAACAGGCCTCCAGTCTGAAAAGCAATCCGCCACCACCAGTCCCTGTCTCCTGTCATTAAGGCAATTTTGTGTCCAATTGACAAGCCTGAATCACCCTGAATCCCATATGATCTAACTTTACTGATGCGTCCACCATGTATAACCTTGTCAAAGGCTTTACTAAAGTCAAAGTAAACAATGTCTCCTGCTCTGCCCTCAACAATTTTCTTTGTTATTTCCTCAAAAAACTGAATCAAGTTTGTGAAATACAATTTCCCTTGCATAAAAACATGCTGACTATCCCAATTGTTCCTTGCCTCTCTAAGTACATAAACCATATCTTTCACAATTACTCCAACTACTTACCCACCACTGAAGTCAGACTCACAGGTCTGTAGTTCCCAGGCTTCTCCTTACATCCCTTAATCAAAGGCACAACATTAGCCATTCTGCAGTCATCTGGCACGTCACCTGTAGTTATAGATGATACAATATTTCTGCAAGGTGCCCCACGTTTTCTCTTTAACTTATCACAATATGATGGAATGCACTAGAGCAGGACCTGGAGATTTAGAGTCATAGAATAATACAGCATGGAAACGGGCCCTTCAGCTCAAACTGATCCATGCTGACCATGGTGCCCTCTCAGCTAGTTCGAATTACCCAAACAAGAGGGATATTTGGTCTATATTCCTCTTAAACCCTTGCTATCCATGTACCTATCCAAATGTTTTTTAAATGTTGTGATTGTAACTGCCTCAGCCAGTTGTTCTGGCAGCCCATTCCATACGTCCACCACTCTTTGTAAGAAGAAGTTGCCCCCTCAGGTCCTTCTTAAGTCTTTCCGCTCTCGCCTTAAACCTATGACTTTGAGTTTTAACTCCTCAACCCTGGGAAAAAGACGATATGCATTCATCCTAACTATGCCCCTCATGATTTTATACACCTCAATAAGGTCACCCCCTCATTCGCCTACGTTCCAAGAAATAAAGTCCTATCCAGGCCAACATATCTCTCTAACTCAGGCCTACTAGCTCTGGCAACAGCCTTGTAAATCTTCTTTGCACACATTCCAGTTTAACTATGTCTTTCTTATAACAGGGTGACCAAAACTGTACACAATACTCCAAGTGCAGCCTCACCCACGACTTATACAACTGTAACACAACGTCCCAACTTCTGTGCTCAGTGCCTTGGTCAATGAAGGCCAGCATGCTAAGTGCCTTCTTCACCACCTTGTCAACCTGTGACGCCGCTTTCAGTGAACTATGTACTTGTACTGCTAGGTCCCTCTCTTCCACAACACTCCTCAGGACCTTACCATGAACCGTATAAGTCCTATCTTGATTTGATTTTCCAGAGTGCAACACCTCATACCTATCTGTATTGAATTGCATTTGCCAATCCTCAAACCACTTCCCCATCTGATCTAGATCCCTCTGTAATTTTTGATAACTTTCCTTGCTGTCAGCGATACCTCCTAGTCTTGTATCATCTGCAAACTTACTAATCATGCATTGTACATTCACATCCAGATCATTTATGTACGTAACAAAGGTCCCAACCCCGACCCCAGTGGCACATTGCTCATCACAGGCCTCCAATCCATGAAACAACCTTCAACCATCACCCTCTGCTTCCTCCCATCGAGCCAATTTTGGTATCCAATTAGCTAGCTTTCCCTGGATCCCATGCGACCTAATCTTCTTGACTAGCCTGCCATGTACGACCTTGTCAAAGGCCTTACTAGAATCCATATCGACAGCATCCACTGCCCTACCTCATTTATCCTCTTGGTTACCTCTTTGAAAAACTCTGAAAGATTTGTCAGACGTGACCTCCCATGCGCAATTCCATACTGACTATCCTTAATCCGATCTTGACTATCCAAATGTAGGTTGATCCTGTCCCTCAGTATCCTGTCCAATAACTTGCCTACCACTGATATCAGGTTCACTGGCCTGTAGTTCCCTGGCATGTCTCTGCTACCTTTTTTAAACAATGGAACAACATTGCCCTCCTCCAGTCTTACTGAACTTCACCAGTGGCTGAAAATGAAGCAAAAATCTCTCAGACCCCCTGCAATTCCTTCCCGAGCCTCCCACAATGTCCAAGGATTGACTTGATCGGGCCCCGGGTATTTATACACCTTAAAGCGCCATAAGGCCCAAACACCACCCCTCTGGTAATATGTACGCATTCCAAAACATTCCCATATTTCCCTTAATTCCTTAGCAGCCACGATTCTCTCCTCGTACTGACTGAGGGGAAATATTCATAAAAATCTCCCCCATCACCTGTGGCTCTACAGGATATCCATCTTTATACTTTTGAAGACGTCCATGTGAACTGTTTTCAAAAAACAGTATTTCTTTCCCTGAGTTTTCTAGCCTCCATTTTTTTCTCCACAATAAAAACTGATGCGAAATATTCCTTTAATATCTTTCTCATCTCCTGACATTCAACACAAAGGTAACCTCTTTGATCTTTACAGGGCCCTGCTCACTCTCTCGTTGCTCTCTTGCTGTTCGTGCACTTGTAGAATCTCTTTGGATTAACGTTAACATTATCTATCAAGGCAATTTCATATCCCCTCTTTGCCTTCCTGGTCTCCCGTTTAAGAATGCCCCTAAACTGTTTATACTGGTCAAGAGATTCATTTAAACCCAGTTGTTTATATCTAATGTATGGTTTTTTTTTTTTTTTTTATTTTTGACTAAAACCTGAATATCTTTTTCATCCATTGTTTTTTAATCCTACCAGCCTTACCTTTCAATCTAACAGGAACATCATGATTCTGAACTCTCGTTAATCACACTTTTTTGAAAGCCTCCCACTTCTCAGATGTCCCTTTGCCTGCAGTCTACTCCAATCAACTTCTGAATGTTCTTGTCTCATACCTTTAAATTTGCCTTACTCCAATTAAAAACTTTTTTGGAAGGCTTATCCTTTTCCATAACTGTTTTGAAACGGATAGAATTATTGTCTATTATCTTGTTCCATACTGTCACTTCTGCCCTATTACCCAAGAGAAGCTCAAGTTTTTTTTCCTCTTTCTTTAGTAGGTGCATTGACTTGTAGATAAAGAAAATGTTCTTGAACACATTTAACATTATTATTCACCATCCAAACCTTCAACACTATGGCAGTCCCAGTCAATGTTTGGAAAATTAAAATCACCAACTATTACAACCTTATTATTCTTACATATATCTGGGATCTCTCTACATATTTGTTTCTCATTTTCCCTCTGACTGTTGGGAGGCCTATTGTACAATCCCATCAGATGATCATTCCTTTCTTGTTTCTAATTTCAACCCATATGTTTTCACTGGATGATTTTTCAGAAATATCTCTTCTAGCCTGAGCAATGAAGACAAGTGTACTAAATGTCTTCTGTCTACCACTCTGTCTACCTGTGACGCAAACTTCAAAGAATGACGTACCTGAAACCCTAGGTCTCTGTTCTACAACACTACCCAGAGCCAGACCATTAATTGTATATTCCTGCCCCTGTGAAGTATTACATTTTGGTAAAACAAACATTTCTTCAAATAAAATTCAGTCTGCCATTCCTCAGCCCATTGACTCAATTGATCAAGATCTCTGTAATCCAGAAGCCAGTAGGCTGTATCCTTTAATATGACAGGAATTGAACATCAATGGAAGGATGTTCTGCTTCAATTGTACAGGGAACAGAGACCAAATCTCAAATACCACGAGCAGGTTTTGGTCTTCCGTACAATTATTCGGAGTTTCAGAGAAAGTTCACGAGATTGAAATCTGGAATAAGTGGGTTGTCTAAGGAGGATAGGTTGGGCAAGCAAAAAGAAAAGAATGAGGCTATAACTGCTGATTAAAACAGGAAAGTCAAATGATGTGAGCCAGGATACAGGGTGTGGTGAGGTAGAATCTGTATAGGTTGAGCTTAGAAACACCAACAGACAGAATATGATATTAGTGTTGTTTATAGACCCCAAATTGCAGTAATATTGGGGAAGGCAGTAGAATGGGATTTACAAGGAAGAAAGTTATGGGTGACTTCAACCTACATATAAAATGAGCAAATCATATCAGTAGCAATATAGTAGAGGAGGAATGCTTAGCGTTCATATGGTACAATTTTGTGAATCAATACATTGAAGCAGCAGATTCGTATTGGGTAATGAGAAAAGAATAATTGTCAATCAAGTTGAGCATGGGGCCTTAAGGAAGAGTGACCATAATCGGATCAGATTCTTCACTAAGATGGAGAGTGATTATTGTTGTTTCTGAGACTAGGGTCCTATAATTAATGGAAAGAAGATATAATGGTATGAGGCGTGAGCTAGTTGTGATAAATTGTGTATCCACTTTTAAATAGATGATGGGAGATGGTTAATGGCAAACATTGTAAGAGGGCTTGGACAAGATATGAAAATTATTCATCTCAATCTCTGGCATAAGAACAAATGGGAAACATGGTCAAACCAAAGCAGAGAAAGGGAAATGAACAGCTATTAAATTTAAGGAAACAGCATACAAATTAGGCAAATAAAACAACAGACCTAAAGGTTGGGAACAGTTAAGATTTCAGCAAAGGGATTTAATAACAGGAGAAAATAAAATGAGTACGGTTGCAGGGACCATTCAAACCAATAGCACTTTTTTTTTATTCATTCACAGGATATGGGCATTGCTGGCTCGGCCAGAATTTATTGCCCAGAGGGCTGTCCAGAGTCAACTGCATTGCTGTGGGACTGGAGTAACGTACAGGCCAGACCAGGTAAGAATGACAATATCTTTCTCTGAAAGATATTAATGAGCCAGATAGGTTTTTCCTGGCGGTCAACAACTGTTTCCTGATCATCATTCAACTCGTAATTCAAGATTGATAGTAAAAGCTTAGTCAAGAAGAAAATAGGGTCTCCTCACAATCTGAAACAGGTAAATTATAATAGGACACAGTGATAGTAGGCCAATAAAATGTGTCTCAGGTTTGCAAAAAGGATAACACAAATAATGTCCCAAAATTAAGGGGATCACAGGGTCTTAATGGGAATGTGGAATTGAAAGAAATTAGTTTTAGTAGGAAAATGATATTGGGAAATCCAATGGGATTACAGGCAGATAAACCCCCAGAGACAGAACCTTCATCTCTGAGCAGCTGAGGAAGTGGCCTGAGAAATAGCAGATGCGCTAGTGGGTTATCCTCAAATTTTATAGACTCTCAGAATTCCTGTGAATTGGAGGGTAGCTAACGTAACTCCAGTATTCAAGAAGGGGAGTCAGAAAACAGGGAATGAAGGTGGGGAAAAATGTTAGGGTCCACTGTAAAAGATGGAATAACAGAGTACTTGGAAGATAATGACAAGGTCAGACAGTCAGCAGAGCCGTTTTCTGTGCCGTAGATCTCTGAGACTCTGTTGGGTATGAATTCTCTCCAAGCTACTAACCATTCATTGGAACTATATTGCTATTCCTTCAGTGTTGCTGGGTCAAAATCCTGAAATCCCTTCCTAACAGCATTGTAGGTCCACCTACAGCTCATGGACTACAGTGGTTCACAAAGCAGATCACTAACACCTCCTCAGTGGCAACTAGGTTCAGCCAGCAATGCACACAGGAATTTAAAAAAAATTATCAAGGTAAAGTGGGAATGTGGAATTGAAACCTAAATAGATCTGCTTTGACCTTTTTGAGGCTCGAGGGGCAGAATGGACTGCTGTGGTTCCTATTTCATATGTTCTCTTCTCCTTTCAAAATGCATCATCTCAGCAGGAATAGTGTCTTCCCTCGGATTGAGAAGGATGAAGATTGATTTGATTAAAATTTTCCAGATGTTAATTGAAGCTGGTTGGGGGAGGGTATAGAATGGAACTAATTCACTGGGTGGGTGCAGTTGGAGCTCAAACACCCTCCTCGCCTCCAGTAATCAGACAAGTCTCGAGTTTCTTTGTTCTGTGTGCCCGCATATCCCCGGACATCTTTCATCATCTTAGTCATCAAGAATCTGTCTGCTGCTGCCTTAGAAAAATGTTTAAAGATTCTGCATTCACTGCCTTTTGCTGAAAGGAATTACAAAGATTCTCAACCCTCTGAGAGAAAGGAAATGTTCCTCACTATTTCAAATGGACACACCCCTTACCTTTAAACAATGACCCTCTGTTCTAGATTCTCTCAAAAGAGGGACCATATTTCAAACATCCACCTGGTCAGGTCCCCTCAGGATCTCTTATGTTTCAGTCGAGTCTCCTCTTTCTTTTCTAAATTCTAGCCTTTCCTCATAAGGCAATCCACTCATTCCATGTATTAGTCAATTAAATCTTCCCTGAAATGCTTCCAACATATTAACAACGTTCTATAAGTACAGTGACCAGAACTGAACCCAGTACTCCAGATGCAAGTCTCTCGAGTACAAAGGGGGACTGCATGTGTCTAAAGGTGGTCCATGAATTCCCACTTGCTTACAGTAATGCATTTTCAGAAGCTCATATCATTTATATTTATCTAATTGCAGACTGACAAAGGTTATGGTCAGTTTGTATTGTTACACAGACAGCATTATTGTGGTATTACTCAAACCTCGCACTCTCCTGGCTCTGCACAAATAATGACTGGCTCTGTAGCCAGTTCCCACAGCCTGATTTTTGTCCTGTTTTTTCAACTTCTGTCCTTTCAAGGAGATTAATGATCCAGGTGGGGTTTTATGACAATCCAGCAGCATTCATTCCACTTTTGACTGTTTTTTAAATTTATTTTCCAGGGAATTGGAAAGGGGGAATTCACAGACAGGCAGCTCAAGTCAAACATTGGATCAAGAGCTGCCAGTAACACTCGGTCCTCAGGAGCTTTGAACATGGAAGGTAAAAGCAACGTTCACAGTGAAGAGAAACCATACACGTGGTCTGTGTGGACAAGCCTTCAGTCAATTGTCTGGCCTGTCGATACGTAAATGCAATCAAAACAGGGTGACAACAATGACATCAAGCAGCACTTGCTTTGTAATGTCATGGTCATGGATCTCAGTTTGAGTTCAGCAAGAGCCACTCAGCTCCTGGTCTCCTTACAATCTTGGTGCAAACATGGACCAAACAGCTGAATTCCAAATGTGAGAGGGACTATCCGCTATCTTAAGGCTCCATTTGACACGGCATTGTATTAAGGAATCATAACAAAGCTAAAGTCAATGGGAACGAGAGGATGTTATTCTTCCTTAGATAGCTGGTTTTTGAAAAGATTGCATCTTCAGACCTCGGTAGATCAAAACAAGGTGAATTTAATCAAACTTGTACCACAGACATGTGGAAGAGGTCTCGAAGTCTAGCTTGGAGACACTCAACTTTTTACAGCTCAATACAGCATATTAAGACACCTTCGTGTCAGAATGGTTGCACGTAACATTGGTATTAAATAAATTGTATGTCAGTTACTTACGACAAAGACAGGATGCTGTTCAGTTTCTAACAAAGTTCTGAGTCCTCTAATTTCAACAGGACTTCCACTTCCACATTATCTTCCAAGATTCTCTAACCCCACCATCAGCTCACAGCATGCCGGCCTTTCCGAGTGAGTAATACTTAGGTGACTATCTTAAGCTATACAGATAGTTATTGTGGCTCAGGTAGTTTAACTGCATGTCCATAACAGTGAACCGCCAACAGTTACTTAAGGTTCAGAAACTATGTCCTTATATGGTTGTATTTGACTCTTACCTTATGCTGTACTGGTTGGACAAGTTTAATTTTCTACTTGTTCTGTGTTTTAGTGTTCTGCTCCTTTTTTCCTTTTTTTGTTTCCATTATACATTCTCTTATCCTCCTTACCCTACTTCACCCTGGTTTGGTAATACTGAATAAAGAAGAGGCTTATGATTGTAGGAAGGCAATCCTCTCAGCCGCAGGAGTTCCTCAGGATCAGGTTCTAGTCCCAACCACCTTCAGCTGTTTCATCAATGACCTTCCCTGCATCATAAGATCAGAAGTGGGAATGTTTGCTGATGATTGCACAATACTTTAGCACCGTTTGTGGCTCCTTGGATACTGAAGCAGTAGATATCTAAATGCAGTATGCCTGGACAACATTGAAGTTAGCCTGCTATGTGACAAAGAACATTTGCACCAACAAATAATGACCAAATCCAAGAAATGAGAATCTAACCACAGCCAAGTGACATTCACTGGGTATATCTTCACGGAATTCCCCATTATCATCATCCTGGGTGCTAATATTGATGAGAAACGGAATTGGAGCTGCCATCTGAATAATGTGCCTACCAAATAGGTCAAAGTGAAGAGATTCTATGGTGATTACTTCAACTCATGACTCCCCAAAGCATGTGCATCAGCAGGAATGTAATAGAACACTCTCCAACTGCTCAGATGGATGCAGCTCCAACAACGCTCGAGAAACCTTACACTATCCAGGTCAATGCAGACCACCTCCTGGTGACCCATTCGGTACCTTCAGCATTTACTCCCTCCGCCACTGAGGGACAGTGGCAGCAGTGTGCACTATCTGCAAGATGCCCTGCAGTTACTCACCCACTCTTCTTTGACAGCACCTACCAAGCCTGCA